CCAAAATCATAACCTTTTTAACGAAAAAGACCGTTTTTGAAAATATCATTTAGTTTTTGAGATAAAACATTTTTAAATTGAGCTGATTTTTCATAATAAAATTAGTCACCTCAATTTTTAAAAAATCGCCAAAAATCGAGCATTAAAGATATCGCAACGTAATTTTTAAAAATTATAGAATTAAGTGTCACCTTTTCAATGAATCAAACCGATTTTGAAAATATCTTTTAGTTTTTGAGATACAAAATTTTAATCACAACGATGTTGATTTTTGAAAATATTATTTATTTCTTAAGATATAACTTTTTATTTATGAATGTTTTCGATGATGGATGTAATGTTTCTTCTGGGCGATATGGTGGCGTTTAAGCACTAGAAAATAGAAAAAAATAATAAATCAAATCTGACAAAATAATATTTTTCTTACCACTTTGAAGAATACTGACGATTTCCCCCACAGTATTATTGATAGATTCAAGAAGTGCGGAAACTAAGTCACTAATACCTGGTACTAATCCTCCGAGAAGAGTTACAATGTCTTCAAGAATAGTTGCTAAAATAATGTTAATTAATATAAATTATATCGTTTTATGACCACTTACTCAAAACGGTAACTAATTCTTTAAGAAGACCTAAAATTGAGCTTACAAGGGGACCTAAATTACCACTGAGCGCAGATCCTAAACTGCTTACTAAAACATAAAACATAAAATGTTAAAAAGCTGAGAATATTTATCTTATAATTTTAAGTACCGAGATTTATTAGTTGCTTTAAGAGTCCATTGTCGACAATATCCACTAAAATATCAACGATTAGAAAATGTTGTATACAAAATAAGATTTAATACTTACATAAATTATTTAATAACGGCTCCACTAGCGGTAATACATTCTTTTGTAGCGATTTTACTAAAAATAGCAATATCAATAATTTCCATCGTTTTAAAAAATTCGTAAAAAATCGAGTTGTTAAGATATCAAAATAAAACCTATACCTAATTATTAAACCAAGTCTCACCTTTCCAATAAAGCAAAAAGATTTTGCGTATCTCGATTACTTTTTGAGATAATATCTTTTAAATGAAATGGGGTGTTTTCACTTTTTAATATTTTAGAGTAATTTTCAAAAAATCGTAATAAATCGAGTTATTGAGATATCAAAATGAAATTTTTATCTAATTATTAAGTAAATTCTCACCTTTCTAATAAAACAAAAAGATTTTGCGTATCTCGATTACTTTTTGAGATAACATCTTTTAAATGAAATTGGGTGTTTTAACTTTTTAATATTTTGGAGTAATTTTCAAAAAATCGTAATAAATCGAATTATTAAGATATCAAAATGAAACTTTTATCTCTTTATTAAGTAAATTCTCACCTTTCTAATAAAGTAAAAAGATTTTGCGTATCTCGATTACTTTTTGAGATAATATCTTTTAAATGAAATGGGGTATTTTAACTTTTTAATATTTTGGAGTAATTTTCAAAAAATCGTAATAAATCGAATTATTAAGATATCAAAATGAAACTTTTATCTCTTTATTAAGTAAATTCTCACCTTTCTAATAAAGTAAAAAGATTTTGCGTATCTCGATTACTTTTTGAGATAATATCTTTTAAATGAAATGGGGTGTTTTAACTTTTTAATATTTTAGAGTAGTTTTCAAAAAATCGTAATAAATCGAGTTATTAAGATATCAAAATAAATCTTTTACCTAATTATTAAGTAAATTCTCACCTTTCTAATAAAGCAAAAAGATTTTGCGTATCTCGATTACTTTTTGAGATAACATCTTTTAAATGAAATGGGGTGTTTTAACTTTTTAATATTTTGGAGTAATTTTCAAAAAATCGTAATAAATCGAATTATTAAGATATCAAAATGAATCTTTCACCTAATTATTAAGTAAATTCTCACCTTTCTAATAAAGCAAAAAGATTTTGCGTATCTCGATTTATTTTTGAGATAATATCGTTTAAATGAAATGGGGTGTTTTAACTTTTTAATATTTTAGATTAATTTTCAAAAAATCGTAATAAATCGAGTTATTAAGATATCGAAATAAATCTTTTACCTAATTATTAAGTAAAGTGTGCAGATTTGAATAAAAAATACCGCGTTCGAAAATAACTCTTTGTTTTTTAGATACGCACCAAATTGTTGAAGCTGCACCACTATGTTGTGTAAAAGTTCAAGGATTGTATTCTCTAAAACACAAAAATAATTACTTTTGATGTCTTTTTATGCTTTAATGTTGAAAAATAATGCTTTACCAATCTTTTGGAGTGTGCTGGAAGAAGTGGTTGTTGACAATGTTGTGGATGACGATGTTGGGGATGAAAACGTTGTGTCTTCATCATCCTCTATCAAATAAAATAGGATCGTTTAATAAGAAAAAAATAATAATTTGTACTTACGAGCAATTATTAAGGGAAGGAGACACCCAAAAATTGTTAAAACAAAGAAAATGGCTCTCATTTTGGTTCTCTGAGTCGTTAAATTGCTGATAAATCCAAGTTTTTATAACAAACTCTCTATAAAAGAATTTCGCCTATGTTAAAAGCACGTTAATAAATAATAGCAATAAAAAATTAATAAAAGTAAATCAATAAAATCAGGAATGTTCATTAAAGAATTGAAAGAAACAATTTAAACGATTTATTAAACATGGTTGATGAAGCAATTGAAGGAAAATTAAAAGAAATAACTATCATGAACAATTTGTCATTCCATAAAATTATTTATGAAAAAATCGCTCGATGTTTGTGAGTAAAATGGATTTTTTTAATAAATCGTTTTTAAAATCATAATAAATGATCATTTTAAGTCAAAATTTTTAATCTCGGATAAAAAACCTTTAAAATGAGCCCAAACACGACCTATTTGTCTTTAAAAATACCTGTAAAAATAAAAAAAAACAATTGATGTGTGATTAATTCAAAATGGCGGACCGCAAATTCGTAATCGCGATTAAAAATCCTTTAAAATGAGTCCAAACACGACCACTTTATCTTAAAAAATAACAAAGTTATCTATGTTTTTATAAATTCAAGATGGCGGAGATAAATCGATTGTTTTTTTAATTAAAAATTGATATCTCCGAAACGGTTAGAGGTAAATAGGTCGTGTTTGGGTTCATTTTAAATCTCTTTTTAATTGCTATAAGGTGGTGTTAAAAATTTTGACAAATTTTTTATATGAATTAATTTCGTTTTCGATTATTTTAAAATGGCAGATCGCAAATTATAATCGCGATTAAAAATACTTAAAATGAGCCCAAACACGACCTATTTATCTTTAAAAATACTAAAAAACAATTGATGTATCATTAATTCAAAATGGCGGACCGCAAATTCGTAATGGCGATTAAAAATCCTTTAAAATGAGTCCAAACACGACTACTTTATCTTTAAAAATAACAAAGTTATCTATGCTTTTATAAATTCAAGATGGCGGAGATAAATCAATTGTTTTTTTAATTAAAAATTGATATCTCCGAAACGGTTAGAGATAAATAGGTCGTGTTTGGGTTCATTTTAAATCTCTTTTTAATTACTATAAGGTGGTGTTAAAAATTTTGACAAAAAATTTTTTCTTTATATGAATTAATTTCGTTTTCGATTATTTTAAAATGGCGGATCGCAAATTATAATCGCGATTAAAAATCCTTTAAAATGAGTCCAAACACGACCACTTTATCTTTAAAAATATCTTTAAAAGTAAAAAAAAACAATTGATGTGTGATTAATTCAAAATGGCGGACCGCAAATTCGTAATGGCGATTAAAAATCCTTTAAAATGAGTCCAAACACGACCACTTTATCTTAAAAAATAACAAAGTTATCTATGTTTTTCTTAATTCAAGATGGCGGAGAATAGAAATCGATTGTTTTTTTAATTAAAATTCGATATCTCCGAAACGGTTGGAGATAAATAGGTCGTGTTTGGGTTCATTTTAAAGGATTTTTCATTTACTATAAGGCGGTGTTAAAAAAAACTTTAAAAAAAAATTTTTTTATATAAATTAATTTTTTTTCGATTATTTCAAAATGGCGGTAAAACCGCGATTAAAAACCCTTTAAAATAAGTCCAAACACGACCACTTTATCTTAAAAAATAACAAAGTTATCTATGTTTTTGTTTTTTTTTAATTCAAGATGGCGGTGAAAAAAATTCAATTGTTTTTTTAATTAAAATTCGATATCTCCGAAACTATTTGAGATAAATAGGTCGTGTTTGGACTCATTTTAAAGGATTTTTAATCCCCTTTGCGATTTTTTGATCGATTTTAGTACGAAATTTTCGCGAAGTAGAACAAATTAGCGAAGTAATTAAGGAAACGCGCGAAAAGCACTCTATTTTTCATATTTTCCATTTTTTTAGTTCATTTTCATTCCTAACTAATGTTGTGATAAGAAATCGATTAAAATGTAATTAGGCGTTATTTTTTTTGGTATAAAAGATGGCGAATTTTGCAATGTTCTTCACTCTCGTTGTATTCCCAACAACTAAAGTAAAGTAAACTCATTTTAAAAAGTGATTTCGCTGAAAAATGATGTCAAAAACTTTCGCATCCATCTTGATGATGGTTTTTGTCGCTTTTAACTGCAACATCCAATCTTTGAAAGCTCAAGGTAAATGTTTTTATTAATTATATTGATATGTGTATCTTTTTGTTGTCTTTTAGAATTAACCGAGGGTAAATGTGAGTTTGGTACGAAGTTGAATGAAACCTGTAAGTAATTTTTTTTACAATTAATAATCTTTTAACAACTACCTTATTTTAGGCGCCGTTCTCCTTACCTCAGTCGATAACGTGGTCAATTTAACCATGCGTTTAGGTAAATCATTGCTGTTAATGTCGAAGTAATTTTGTTAATAAATTAATCATTTTTTCTAGTTCAAGAGGTTTTGGAGGAAGCAAATGCTTTTGTTAAAACGATGCTTGATTCAATTATAAATAATAGTTTATTTGCTTTTTTCCCTATTATAACTGAATTCAAAGATATAGGTAAAATAGTTTTTTTTAAACAGATAATTGAGTATAAAAAATTAATTTTTGTTTATTTACAATTAGTTACTAAACTCTTAACTGGAGCTGTTACGTTTGTTGATAAAATTACTGAATTACTTAAAAACTTCATCTCCAAAATACTGGAAGTATTGCGTAAGTTGATTTATAAAATATTACAGAATTAAATTATAATATAAACAATGTTAGAAAAATTGGTTTCCATCATTTTGGCACTTGTCGGATCGGCAGCAAAGGGTATTATAAACGTTGTTAACACTTTCATGAAAAATGTAATCGACGAATCTAATGCAATGAGTGCTGCTGTAGATATAAGTAAGTTTAAACAGTTTAACTTTGTTTAATATCGATTAAAAACGTTTTCATTTTCAGTTGCTGAATGTTTTGAGGTAAAACGTCACCATCATATTGTTCACAAGAAGCTAGCAGTGGCGGATTTAGTTAATAAAAGGAAAAATTTGATAAATTGAACTGGGAAGAAAATCAAATTCATAATTATCTAGATAAAATAAAATTAATCTGTGCACGGAATAAAAAAATAATAATATTGAATTAATTAAATGTGAATTTGGCAAAAATAAAATGAGAGCATTAAAAATAAAGCTGTTTTATTCAAAAAAAAAACCAATGGAAAATTAAAATGATGAAATTTAAAAAAAATGTGTTAATAAAAATTGTTGCTGATTCGATTATAAACAAATTTTGTTTAAACAAAAATCTAATAAAAGTAATGATTATTAAGATAACCTCAAAAATATCGTTTTTATACCAGTGTGCAGCCCCACCTGATAGAAATTTCGAAATTTTTAATCGGTGAATCGATTTTAAATAACATTATCAGTAAGTATTATATAAAACATTTTTGGATAAAAACGATGTGCTTCGAGATACATTGAGTATCATTTTACGTACTATTCAGTGGGAAATTAAAATATTACAATATCGAAAAATTGTATTAATAAAAATTATTGCTTTTTTAATTCTAAATAAATAATTCTTATAAAATTTTTTGATTAAATTATTAATTCTTGAGATAACCTCAAAAATATCGTTTTTATACCAGTGTGCAGCCCCACCTGATAGAAATTTCGAAATTTTTAATCGGTGAATCGATTTTAAATAACATTATAAATAAGTATTATATAAAACATTTTTGGATAAAAACGATGTGCTTCGAGATACATTGAATTTTATTTACGTACTGTTGTGGGAAATTTAAAAAATATTACAATATCGAAAAATGGTGTTAATAAAAATTATTGCTTTTTTAATTCTAAATAAATAATTCTTATAAAATTTTTTGATTAAATTATTAATTCTTGAGATAACCTCAAAAATATCGTTTTTATACCAGTTGTCAGCCCCACCTGATAGAAATTTCGAAATTTTTAATCGGTGAATCGATTTTAAAAAACATTATAAGTAAGTATTATATAAAACATTTTTCGATAAAAACGATGTGCTTCGAGATACATTGAGTATCATTTTACGTACTATTCAGTGGGAAATTAAAATATTACAACATCGAAAAATTGTATTAATAAAAATTTTTGCTTTTTTAATTCTAAATAAATAATTCTTATAAAATTTTTTGATTAAATTAATTATTGTTGAGATAACCTCAAAAATATCGTTTTTATACCAGTGTGCAGCCCCACCTGATAGAAATTTCGAAATTTTTAATCGGTGAATCGATTTTAAATAACATTATAAATAAGTATTATATAAAACATTTTTCGATAAAAACGATGTGCTTCGAGATACATTGAATTTTATTTACGTACTGTTCAGTGGGAAATTTAAAAAATATTACAACATCGAAAAATGGTGTTAATAAAAATTATTGCTTTTTTAATTCTAAATAAATAATTCTTATAAAATTTTTTGATTAAATTATTAATTCTTGAGATAACCTCAAAAATATCGTTTTTATACCAGTGTGCAGCCCCACCTGATAGAAATTTCGAAATTTTTAATCGGTGAATCGATTTTAAATAACATTATAAATAAGTATTATATAAAACATTTTTGGATAAAAACGATGTGCTTCGAGATACATTGAATTTTATTTACGTACTGTTCAGTGGGAAATTTAAAAAATATTACAATATCGAAAAATGGTGTTAATAAAAATTATTGCTTTTTTAATTCTAAATAAATAATTCTTATAAAATTTTTTGATTAAATGAATAATTGATGAGATAACCTCAAAAATATTATTTTCATACCAGTGTATAGCGCCACCTGGAGGAGATTTAAAAGTTTTTAATTAATAAATTGATTTTAAATGATTTTATAAATAAGTATTATATAAAACATTTTTCGATAAAAACGATGTGCTGCGAGATACACCGAGTTGTATTGAGTATCATTTTACGTACTATTCAGTGGGAAATTAAAATATTAGAATTTCAAAAAATGATATTAACTAAAAAAATTGCTTTTTTAATTCTAAATAATTATTCCTTATAAAATTTTTTAATAAAATTAATAATTCTTGAGATAACCTCAAAAATATTATTTTCATACCAGTGTATAGCGCCACCTAGAGGAGATTTAAAATTTTTTAATTAATAAATTGATTTTAAATGATTTTATAAATAAATATTATATAAAACATTTTTCGATAAAGATGATGTGCATCGAGATACATTGAGTATCATTTTACGTACTATTCAGTGGGAAATTAAAATATTACAATATCGAAAAATTGTATTAATAAAAATTATTGCTTTTTTAATTCTAAATAAATAATTCTTATAAAATTTTTTGATTAAATTATTAATTCTTGAGATAACCTCAAAAATATCGTTTTTATACCAGTGTGCAGCCCCACCTGATAGAAATTTCGAAATTTTTAATCGGTGAATCGATTTTAAATAACATTATAAATAAGTATTATATAAAACATTTTTGGATAAAAACGATGTGCTTCGAGATACATTGAATTTTATTTACGTACTGTTCAGTGGGAAATTTAAAAAATATTACAATATCGAAAAATGGTGTTAATAAAAATTATTGCTTTTTTAATTCTAAATAAATAATTCTTATAAAATTTTTTGATTAAATTATTGATTCTTGAGATAACCTCAAAAATATCATTTTTATACCAGTGTACAGCGCCACCTAGAGGAGATTTAAAATTTTTTAGTTAAAAAATTGATTTTAAATGATTTTATAAATAAATATTATATAAAACATTTTTCGATAAAAGCGATGTTCTTCGAGATACATCGAGTATCATTTTTCGTACTATTCAGTGGGAAATTAAAATATTACAATATCGAAAAATGGTGTTAATAAAAATTATTGCTTTTTTAATTCTAAATAATTATTCCTTATAACATTTTTTGATTAAATTAATAATTCTTGAGATAACCTCAAAAATATCATTTTCATAACAGTGTACAGCGCCATCTAGAGGAGATTTAAAATTTTTTAGTTACAAAATTGATTTTAAATGATTTTATAAACAAATATCATATAAAACATTTTTCGATAAAAACGATGTACTTAGAGATACATTGAGTATCATTTTACGTACTATTCAGTGGGAAATTAAAATATTGCAATATCGAAAAATGGTGTTAATAAAAATTATTGCTTTTTTAATTCTAAATAACTATTCCTTATAACATTTTTTAATTAAATTAATAATTTTTGAGATAACCTCAAAAATATCGATTTTATACCAGTGTATAGCGCCCCCTAGAGGAGATTTAAAATTTTTTAGTTAAAAAATTGATTTTAAATAATTTTATAAACAAATACTATATAAAACATTTTTCGATAAAAACGATGGGCTTCGAGATACACTGAGTTGTATTGAGTATCATTTTACGTACTATTCAGTGGGAAATTAAAATATTACAATATCGAAAAATGGTGTTAATAAAAATTATTGCTTTTTTAATTCTAAATAACTATTCCTTACAAAATTTTTCGATAAAATTAATAATTGTATTAAACGTACTATTCAGTGGGAAATTAAAAAGTGGAAATTTAAAAAAATTGTATTAATAAAACTTGTTGCTAATTCAATTCTAAACAAATATTGTTTAATAATTTTTTTGATTAATCTAATATTTCTGGTGTAATAGTAAAAATAATTCAACATTGATGATTCTTTTATTGATAAAATCGACTTTTCATTATTTAGGTAAACAACTATAACAAATTAAAGAATTTTTAAACCTTGAAAACGATTATATCGTTATAAAATACTTACTATTCCATTTTACTTACTAAAAATAGACAATTTTAATTTTATTTTTTATTTTTAAATCATTTTAATCTTACTATGTTGCCCAGTGTTTCTTATTCCAGTTCCGGTGTCAATAACGAGTGTTCCCAAGGCTTCGAAAGCTTGTCCAACTTAAAAATAATGAATCAGTTTAATCAATTAATTTTAAAATTATTTTAACTTACATAAAACCTGAATTAAAACCAAAAATCCTATTATTGGCTCTAAAAATTAAATTTAATTAATTTAAAATTGTAAAATTTGATTTAAACTCACTTGCAAAATAATATGGGATAAAAAAGATCGAAAAAAAAACATTTCGGATTAAATTACAAAAGAAATTGTGAATAGTAGCAGGAATTATTAATACTTTTAAAAGGAATTCAATCAAAGTGTCACCTAAAAAATAAATTTTATTAATTAATTAATTTTTGATTAATTTATTGGCTTAATTAGTCACTTAGAGAATTATTAGGAGGTTCTTTAATGCTTTCGTGAAAAACATTCGGAATATTATTGTAAAAGTTGTAGATAAGATCTTGAACGTTTTGAGCTTAAAGAAAAATTTATTATTTGAATTTAAGAAAAAATAACCTTCTTACCTGTGGTCATTGAAAAAAATGTTAAAGGCAAAACAAAAATCATCGAGAGTAAAAGGAAATTCATTTTTTACGGTGTTTTTTTGGTGACTTTTGTTATGATTTTAATTTGAAAAGGGACGTTGACAAGAATTTGATGTAAATAAAAAAAAAACGATTTTATTAGTTTTCTTTGATTAATTTAAAAATTCGCGAAAAATCGATTTGTTAATAAATTTTTCTGAAAATATTACCACTTATAAAGAAAAGTGTGATCTTTAAGATTATAAAAACCGATTTGAAAAATCTCAATTAGTTTTTGAGATAGAATGTTTTAAACACAATTGTAATTTCTAATAATTCCTAAGAAATCAAGTTTTGTTTCATTAACTTTAAAAATTCGCGAAAAATCGATTTATTAATAAATTTTTCTGAAATTATTACCACTTATAAAGAAAAGTGTGATCTTTAAGATAGTAAAAACCGATTTGGAAAATCTCAATTAGTTTTTGAGATAGAATGTTTTAAACACAATTGTAATTTCTAATAATTCCTAAGAAATCAAGTTTTGTTTCATTAACTTTAAAAATTCGCGAAAAATCGATTTATTAATAAATTTTTCTGAAATTATTACCACTTATAAAGAAAAGTGTGATCTTTAAGATAATAAAAACCGATTTGGAAAATCTCAATTCGTTTTTGAGATAGAATGTTTTAAACACAATTGTAATTTCTAATAATTATTAAGATACCAAGTTTTGTTTCATTAACTTTAAAAATTCGCGAAAAATCGATTTATTAATAAATTTTTCTGAAATTATTACCACTTATAAAGAAAATTGTGATCTTTAAGATAGTAAAAACCGATTTGAAAAATCTCAATTAGTTTTTGAGATAGAATGTTTTAAACACAATTGTAAATTTTAATAATTACTGAGATAGCAAATTTTGTTTCATTAACTTTAAAAATTCGCGAAAAATCGATTTATTAATAAATTTTTCTGAAATTACTACCACTTATAAAGAAAAGTGTGATCTTTAAGATAGTAAAAACCGATTTGGAAAATCTTAATTAGTTTTTGAGATAGAATGTTTTAAACACAATTGTATTTTCTAATAATTATTAAGATACCAAGTTTTTTTCATTAACTTTAAAAATTCGCGAAAAATCGATTTATTAATAAATTTTCCTGAAATTATTACCACTTATAAAGAAAAGTGTGATCTTTAAGATAATAAAAACCGATTTGGAAAATCTCAATTAGTTTTTGAGATAGAATGTTTTAAACACAATTGTAATTTCTAATAATTACTAAGATATCAAGTTTTGTTTCATTAACTTTAAAAATTCGCGAAAAATCGATTTATTAATAAATTTTTCTGAAATTATTACCACTTATAAAGAAAAGTGTGATCTTTAAGATAATAAAAACCGATTTGGAAAATCTCAATTAGTTTTTGAGATAGAATGTTTTAAACGCAATTGTAATTTCTAATAATTCCTAAGAAATCAAGTTTTGTTTCATTAACTTTAAAAATTCGCGAAAAATCGATTTATTAATAACTTTTTCTGAAATTACCCCCACTTATAAAGAAAAGTGTGATCTTTAAGATGATAAAAACCGATTTGGAAAATCTCAATTAGTTTTTGAGATAGAACGTTTTAAACACAATTGTAATTTCTAATAATTCCTAAGAAATCAAGTTTTGTTTCATTAACTTTAAAAATTCGCGAAAAATCGATTTATTAATAAATTTTTCTGAAATTACCCCCACTTATAAAGAAAAGTGTGATCTTTAAGATAATAAAAACCGATTTGGAAAATCTCAATTAGTTTTTGAGATAGAATGTTTTAAACACAATTGTAATTTCTAATAATTACTAAGATATCAAGTTTTGTTTCATTAACTTTAAAAATTCGCGAAAAATCGATTTATTAATAAATTTTTCTGAAATTATTACCACTTATAAAGAAAAGTGTGATCTTTAAGATAGTAAAAACCGATTTGGAAAATCTCAATTAGTTTTTGAGATAGAATGTTTTAAACACAATTGTAATTTCTAATAATTACTAAGAAATCAAGTTTTGTTTCATTAACTTTAAAAATTCGCGAAAAATCGATTTATTAATAAATTTTTCTGAAATTATTACCACTTATAAAGAAAAGTGTGATCTTTAAGATAGTAAAAACCGATTTGGAAAATCTCAATTAGTTTTTGAGATAGAATGTTTTAAACACAATTGTAATTTCTAATAATTACTAAGAAATCAAGTTTTGTTTCATTAACTTTAAAAATTCGCGAAAAATCGATTTATTAATAAATTTTTCTGAAATTATTACCACTTATAAAGAAAAGTGTGATCTTTAAGATAGTAAAAACCGATTTGGAAAATCTCAATTAGTTTTTGAGATAGAATGTTTTAAACACAATTGTAATTTCTAATAATTACTAAGAAATCAAGTTTTGTTTCATTAACTTTAAAAATTCGCGAAAAATCGATTTATTAATAAATTTTTCTGAAATTATTACCACTTATAAAGAAAAGTGTGATCTTTAAGATAGTAAAAACCGATTTGGAAAATCTCAATTAGTTTTTGAGATAGAATGTTTTAAACACAATTGTAATTTCTAATAATTCCTAAGAAATCAAGTTTTGTTTCATTAACTTTAAAAATTCGCGAAAAATCGATTTATTAATACATTTTTCTGAAATTATCACCACTTATAAAGAAAAGTGTGATCTTTAAGATAATAAAAACCGACTTGGAAAATCTCAATTAGTTTTTGAGACAGAATGTTTTAAACACAATTGTAAATTTTAATAATTACTGAGATAGCAAATTTTGTTTCATTAACTTTAAAAATTCGCGAAAAATCGATTTATTAATACATTTTTCTGAAATTATTACCACTTATAAAGAAAAGTGTGATCTTTAAGATAATAAAAACCGATTTGGAAAATCTCAATTAGTTTTTGAGATAGAATGTTTTAAACACAATTGTAATTTCTAATAATTACTAAGATAGCAAGTTTTGTTTCATTAACTTTAAAAATTCGCGAAAAATCAATTTATTAATAAATTTTTCTGAAATTATTACCACTTATAAAGAAAAGTGTGATCTTTAAGATAGTAAAAACCGATTTGGAAAATTTCAATTAGTTTTTGAGATAGAATGTTTTAAACACAATTGTAAATTTTAATAATTACTGAGATAGCAAGTTTTGTTTCATTAACTTTAAAAATTCGCGAAAAATCGATTTATTAATAATTTTTTCTGAAATTATTACCACTTATAAAGAAAAGTGTGGTCTTAAGATAATAAAAACCGATTTGGAAAATCTCAATTAGTTCTTGAGATAGAATTTTTTTAACGCAATCGAAATTCTGTAAAAAAATTATTTTATATTCACCATTTTTCCTGCAACTCTCTTCGCCTCTAAATGTTGAGTAGCAACAATCTTAAAAGATAATTAAAAATAGTCCTTTTTTCTACGCAGTTTCCATTATTTGGAATGAAAATTGCCAAAGCAGATAAAAAACTTACTTGCGTAGTGCTTTTAAGTGGTTTTTGAATGCTTATGTAATTGTTTTGGAGTGGTTGCTTTTTCATAGGAATTTTCAGCGAATTCTCCTTTAATTATTGTTAAAAATTAATTGATTTTGATAACCTTTTAAATTTGGCATTTATTTATTTAACTTGTTATGATTAATCGGTTAGAGATGAATTAAAAAAATCGTATCTCGGCGATTTATAGAATCGAAATAAAAATTTTCGGGGACCTAAATCTAGATTAAATTTGCTACAAAATGGTGATTAAATCATTTTGATATCTCAATTAGTTTTTGAGATACGATTTTTTTTAATTTTGATGTTTTTTAACTTAATTTGTAACGAGAAAAGATATTGAAAAAATCATTTCACCGAAATTTGTGGGATTAAAAAAATTGTTTTAATCTCATTAATTCTTGGTTAAATTTGCTTTAAAACGCATTTTATTTCATGGTGATATCTCAATTTGTTTTTGAGATATGCTTCTTTAAATCCAGTTTTTACTAATTTCGCCTTAATTATTGAATTGAATTAAAAAAATCGTATCTCCGCGATTTATAGAATCGAAATAAAAATTTTCGGGGACCTAAATCTAGATTAAATTTCCTATAAAATGGTGATTAAATCATTTTGATATCTCAATTAGTTTTTGAGATACGATTTTTTTAATTTTAACGTTTTTTAACTTAATTTGTAACGAGTAAAGATATTGAAAAAATCATTTCACCGAAATTTGTGGGATTAAAAAAATTGTTTTAATCTCATTAATTCTTGATTAAATTTGCTTTAAAATGCATTTTATTTCATGGTGATATCTCAATTCGTTTTTGAGATACGAGATTTTAAATTCCATTTTTGTTGAGTTAACCTAAATTATTGAGTTGAATTAAAAAAATCGTATCTCCGCGATTTATAGAATCGAAATAAAAATTTTCGGGGACCTAAATCTAGATTAAATTTCCTATAAAATGGTGATTAAATCATTTTGATATCTCAATTAGTTTTTGAGATACGATTTTTTTAATTTTGATGGTTTTTAACTTAATTTGTAACGAGTAAAGATGTAGAGATGAATTAAAAAAATCATTTCAACTTGTGGAACGGAAGATGTAGCTAATCTTATTCTTAACAATATTGCTCTCTTTCATTTTTGCTCTCAGATGCGTCAATATCGAGAAAGATATGAAAATTTGATGAATTTCGTTGTTTTTCTACTTCGTCATGGTAGTATTCGGAAATCGAAGCATGTTACAAAAAAACTTTTCGAACAAAAGTTGTAGCAAATTTTATTCTTAACAATATTGCTCCCTTCCATTTTTGCTCTTAGATGCGTCAATTTTGAGAAAAGTATGAAAATATGAAAATTTGATTAATTTCTTTGTTTTACTATTATCTAATGGTAATATTTGAGAATCGAAGCATGTTACAAAAAAACTTTTAGAACAAAAGTTGTAGCAAATTTTATTCTTAACAATATTGCTCTCTTACATTTTTGCTCTTGGATGCGTCAATTTTGAGAAAAGTATGAAAATATGAAAATTTGATGAATTTCTTTGTTTTACTATTAGCTAATGGTACTATTTGAGAATCGAAGCATGTTACAAAAAAACTGTTGAAACAAAAGTTGTAGCAAATTTTATTCTTAACAATATTGCTCCCTTACATTTTTGCTCTTGGATGCGTCAATTTTGAGAAAAGTATGAAAATATGAAAAATTGATTAATTTCTTTGTTTTATTGTTATCTAATGGTAACATTTGAGAATCGAAGCATGTTACAAAAAAACTGTTGGAACAAAAGTTGTAGCAAATTTTATTCTTAACAATATTGCTCCCTTACATTTTTGCTCTTGGATGCGTCAATTTTGAGAAAAGTATGAAAATATGAAAAATTGATTAATTTCTTTGTTTTATTATTATCTAATGGTAACATTTGAGAATCGAAGCATGTTACAAAGAAACTTTTAGAACAAAAGTTGTAGCAAATTTTATTCTTAACAATTTTGCTCCCTTACATTTTTGTTCTTAGATGCGTCAATTTTGAGAAAAATATGAAAATTTGATGAATTTCCTTGTTTTAGTATTAGCTAATGGTAACATTTGAGAATCGAAGCGTGTTACAAAAAAACTTTTAGAACAAAATTTGTAGCAAATTTTATTCTCAACAATATTGCTCTCTTACATTTTTGTTCTTGGATGCGTCAATTTCGAGAAATATATGAAAATATGAAAATTTGATGATTTTCCTTGTTTTACTATTAGCTAATGGTAATATTTGAAAATCGAGTTATGTTACAAAAAAACTGTTGGAACAAAAGTTGTAGCAAATTTTATTCTTAACAATATTGCTCTCTTGCATTTTTACTCTCAAATGCGTCAATATCGAGAAAAACACGAAAATATGATAATTTTATGAATTTCTTGTTTTACTTGTAGCTAATGATAACATTTGGAAATCGGAGAGAGTTACAAAAAAACTTTTAGAACAAAAGTTGTAGCAAATTTTATTCTTAACAATATTTCTCTCTTTCACTTTTGCTCTCAGATATCTCAATATGGAGAAAGAAGCGATACAAGATTTTAAATTCCATTTTTATTGAGTTGAATTAAAAAAATCGTATCTCCACGATTTATAGAATCGAAATAAAAATTTCGCCTTTCGTGGAAAAGCTTTTACTGAAAAATTTTCGTTTTCCATTAGGTGGTCCAATTTTCATTTTTTCGTAATCGCTTTGCACTTAACTTAACATTGCAGTGATAATAACAGTGATAAGGTGATTTTTTCGTGAGGAATGTTTTCACTTAAAATTTTTCCCGCTCGATTTTTCGTATAAAAGGGCTCGTTTGGGAACCAATCGGCACCCATTTGATCAGTCAGCTTATTGTCGACGCTTCAAATTGCTTCCTTAAAAACCAACCAAAATGAAAGCTACTTTTGTTGTTTTAGCCGTTTTCGGTTGTCTTCTTGGCTTCACCGTTTCTCGTAAGTTTTTTTATTGTTATTTATCTTTCTGACCTTTTTCATTGTGGTTATTTTTTTAGAAGAAACCACTACTGATACTAGTGTTACTAATTCAACAACCTCTGGTATTGTTTCTGAAATAATTTCAAGTGAACGTAAATATTATTATGAAAATGCTGTTTATTCAAAAATAATTATAAATATATTTACATTTTAGTCGGTAGTGTGGTTACCTTACTAGACACAATTACTAGCGCTATTAAGGAATTTGGTAAGTAATAAATTGGAAAATTCATTAATCAAATCTTTATTCCATTTTTATGTGTATTTATTATTCTTTTATCTAGTGCGTGATTTGTTGAATCAAGTATCCAAATTATCATCAATCTTACTAGCACCGTTACTTAGTACGCTTCGTAAGTATAGCATTAGTATTTTTAACCATAATGTTACACATACTTTTCTTTTCAGAACCTATAGTTGAAGGTTTGGTTAAAGCTATTACAGATATTGGTAAGTATTAATAAATTGTTCACAAATTGTTAATGTGTAGATAACAAAAAAATCAATTACTTAACTTCATTTAATTTCAGTTAACCAGTTATTGAGTGGTGTCATGAAACTAACTGTGCCTATAATTCAGAATTTAATAGATTTAGTTAGTGGAATAGTTACCGCAATAAGTACGTAAAAAATATTTTTGTAATTAATTCTTAATAATTTTTAACATTTATTTCACTTTAGCACCAATTCTTAATAGTATAGTAGACTTACTTAAATTAGTATTGTCGACAATTGGTGCATTAGGTAAGCATCTATTGCTGTAAAAATAAGAGTAATACTAATAACACACATTTTCAGTCAACAATCTTTTGGAAACAGTCCAAAAAACTGTGGATCTAATTATTGACTCTTTACAAAACGTTTTGAGTGGTGAGTAACTGTATTGATTTAATTAGAGTACGAATTAATTTCTGTTTATTACAAAGGCTTGACAAGCACCACCTCATCCGACAGTACAACAAGTGCATCCACCACCACCGCTGCAGATGCAACCACTGCAGGCACAATGATTGAAGAATCAACAGTTCTCCCTTCAGCTAAACGTCACCACATCGTTCACAAGAAATTCCACCACGCTGCTCGCAGCCACCACCACCACCAAAACTAAAAGCAACAATAAAAGGAGCGTCGACGTTCGCTTCACGACGATCAGACGCCTTCACCGAAAAGATGCCGCAACAACAACACAACATTTTACCGAAAATAACTAAATGAAACGTGTCGTTTATTATATTCTTGTAAATTTGTTATATTGTTCGTTGCCGTTTAACCTTTTCGCGTTGAATTGCGAATTAGAATGTAAGCGCATCCCAAAAGGCAAAAAAAATAATAAAATTTTAATTTCAAATTAATCGACGACTTTTTTTTATTTCGAAGCATGTTACAAAAAAACTTTTTAAACGAAAGTTGTAGCAAATTTTATTGTTAACAATATTGCTCTCTTTCATTTTTGCTGTCGGATGCATCGATATGGAGAAAGAAGCGAAAATATGAAATTTGATTAATTTGTTGTTTTACTACTTCGTAATGGTAGTATTCGGGAATCGAAGCATGTTACAAAAAAACTTTTAGAATGAAAGTTGTAGCTCATTTTGTTCTTAACAATATTGCTCCCTTACATTTTTGCTCTTGAATGCGTCAATTTCGAGAAAAATATGAAAATTTGATGATTTTCCTTGTTTTTCTATTAGCTAATGGTAACATTTGAAAATCGCAGCATGTTACAAAAAAACTTTTAGAACAAAAGTTGTAGCAAATTTTATTCTTAACAATATTGCTCTCTTACATTTTTGCTCTTAGATGCGTCAATTTTGAGAAAAACATGAAAATATGAAAATTTGATGAATTTCGTTGTTATACTATTAGCTAATGGTAACATTTGAGAATCGAAGCATGTTACAAAGAAACTTTTAGAACAAAATTTGTAGCAAATTTTATTCTTAACAATATTGCTCTCTTACATTTTTGTTCTTAGATGCGTTAATTTTGAGAAAAACATGAAAATATGAAAATTTGATGAATTTCTTTGTTTTACTGTTAGGTAATGGTAACATTTGAGAATCGAAGCATGTTACAAAGAAACTTTTCGAACAAAATTTGTAGCAAATTTTATTCTTAACAATATTGCTCCCTTACATTTTTGCTCGTAGATGCGTCAATTTTGAGAAAAGTATAAAAATATGAAAATTTGATGAATAACGTTATTTTACAAGTTGTTAATGGTAATATTTGAAAATTGGAAAATGTTATAAAAAAACTTTTGGAAGAAAAGTTGTAGCAAATTTTATTGTTAATAATATTGCTCTCTCTCACTTTTGCTGTCAGATGCCTCAATATGGAGAAAGAAGCGACTTTTTATTCAATTAATTTATTCAAAAATTACAGATATCTGTAATTAAATCGAAACATTCCCTTTTTGCACCGAAAGATGGCGCTAAAACAACCACGATTTCATTAAAATTTAATCTAAATTGATTTAGTTTAAATTTAATATTTCGAATGAGTATCTAAATAAGCTTAAAATTAATTATTAGAATAATTTTGAATACGATTGTGTAAAAACGGTGTTAGGATGACGATTTTGAACTTGAAAAGGCGTTTAAAACGAAAATTACCAAAAGAATTTAATAAAAGTAGCCCAAGAACATCGGTAGTCGTAAAAATTCTTATCGAATCACTCATTTCGGTTGTAACATTTTCACACTCTTCTTCATCGCTTTGAAGAGCGTTGCACAACGAAACACTTTTATTCGTTACAAATTAAGTTAGTTAAAAAAATCGTATCTCAAAAACTAATTGAGATATCGAAATGATTTAATCACCATTTTGTAGCAAATTTAATCTAGATTTGATATCCAAAAAATATTTATTTCGATTCTATAAATAACGGAGGTACGATTTTTTTAATTCAACTCAATAATTTAGATTAACTCAATAAAAAGGGAGTTTAAAATCTCGTATCTCAAAAACGAATTGAGATATCACCATGAAATAAAATGCATTTTAAAGCAAATTTAATCAAGAATTAATGAGATTAAAATAATTTTTTTAATCCCACAAATTTCGGTGAAATGATTTTTTCAATATCTTTACTCGTTACAAATTAAGTTAAAAAACGTTAAAATTAAAAAAATCGTATCTCAAAAACTAATTGAGATATCGAAATGATTTAATCACCATTTTGTAGCAAATTTAATCTAGATTTAAGACCCCGATGATATTTATTTCGATTCTATAAATCGCTGAGATATGATTTTTTTTAGTTAAAAAGTTAAATTAATACAAATGTAATTTAAAAAATCATATCTCAAGAACGAATTGAGATATCGCCATGAAACAAATCACGTTTAAAAGCAAATTCAATTAATTTTTAATGATGTGAAAATAACTTCTTCATTTCCACTATTTCCTTAGGTAATTATCGTCTAATTTAGCGTCTCGTTAATTACAAAGACGGATTTTTTTCGAGTGTAAATAAGCATTGAATTAGCCGAGACATTTGATACATGTTGGTATTTAAATTTTTTCCTCTCTTAATTTAATAAGGATAAAAAGAATTAGCAGGTTTTTTAGCGCCGAGGAAAAAATAACTTTTTATTACGACGATTTAAAGAAGAAATATGTTTTTTGTATTACTTATATAATCGGAGATTTGACAAAAATGATTGAAACGTCAATCGTTTTCTATCAAAAATGTCAAAAATTACTTAATTAAAAAGGGGCTCGCTTTTTATTTACACAAAAATGAGTGATACGAGTGCGAGGTCTCGAGATTCGAGATTGGCAATTCTTCAAAGTCCTGAACCAAGATCTTTACCCGAAACTCCACCACATCATGAAAATCACTCGCAACAAAGTGCACCATCTGAATCTAGACCACAAGAAAGGAGTCATCCTCAACCAAGTGCACCAGCTGAATCTCCACCACAAGAAAGGAGTCATCCTCAACCAAGTGCACCACCTGAATCTCCACCACAACAAAGAAATCATCCACAACCAAGTGCACCACCTGAATCTCCACCACAACCAGGGAATAATCCACAACCAAGTGCACCACCTCAAACTCCAGTACGACATGGTCAACAACCACCACCAAAACCACCACCTCAAGCTCAACCTAAACCATATAATACTCCACCTAAAAGGCCGCTACAACTCGCCGAATTAGATTCAGAATCGAGTGTTCAATCAGGACAAGTTAAGAATGAAGGAAATAATAACTTTAACATCACGGATATAATATCAAACTTTAAACTGGAGTATTTACCCTTGTATACATTCAAAACCTTTATTTTTTTTGTGGTGCTCTATATTGTATATTACTCGATACGGTTTATGCATGACCATGCCATAGACGAAGATGACGTGGAAATTGATGACGTAGAAGACGACGTGGCATATACACTACAATCTCGATCCCGTGGCAGGAGAAGACTGAGAAGACCTCGAAGATTATTTTTTTAAGTTGCAAGAAAATCTGTTTGTAATTGAAGAAATGTGTGACAAGTTTTAGAAATATAAGCGAAGCCCCGAATTATTTTTATTTGAATCTTTGAAAGGGAATAATTTGATATAAAGTGATGTCAAAGGTTGCTTTAGAAGCTCAAAAAGTTTTATTGTTTCAATTTTAACCGTTTCGGAGAAAACGATTTTTTTATAACAACATTTTTAGAAACGTCAAATTTAATAGGTGGTTTTTAAATATTAATAAAAAGTGAATCGTTCACTTCGAAAAATTATAATTCGGTGTAAATTAACCCCAAACGTTCCTTTATAACCTCAAAAAGTTTTATTCTTTCAATCTTAACCGTTTCGGAGATACCAATTTTTTTATAACTACACTTTTAGAAACGTCAAATTTAATAGGAAATTTTTAAAAATTAATATCAAACGAATCGCTCACTTTGAAAGATTATAATTTGGTATAAATTAAACCCATACGTTCCTTTATAACCTCAAAAAATTTCATTCTTTCGATCTTAACCGTTTCGGAGATAACAATTTTTTTATAACTACACTTTTAGAAACGTCAAATTATGTAGGAGATTTTAAAAAATTAATATCAGACAAATCGCTCATTTTGGAAGATTATAATTTGGTATAAATTAATCCCAAACGTTCCTTTATAACCTCAAAAAGTTTCATTCTTTCAATCTTAACCATTTTGGAGATAACAATTTTTTTTATAACTACACTTTTAGAAACGTCAAATTTAATAGGAATTTTTAAAAATTAATATCAAACGAATCGCTCACTTTGGAAGATTATAATTTAGTATAAATTAATCCCAAATGTTCCTTTATAACCTCAAAAAGTTTTATTCTTTCAATCTTAACCATTTCGGAGATACCAATTTTTTTATAACTACACTTTTAGAAACGTCAAATTTAATAGGAGATTTTTAAAAATTAATATCATGCGAATTGTTCACTTTGATAGGTTGTAATTTGGTATAAATTAATCTCAAACCTTCCTTTATAACCTCACAAAGTTTCATTCTTTCAATCTTAACCGATTTCGAGAAAACGATTTTTTTATAACCACACTTTTAAGAAACGTCAAATTATGTAGGAGATTTTTAAAAATTAATATCACACGAATCGTTCACTTTGGAAGATTATAATTTGGTGAAAATTGAACCCAAACGTTCTTTTATAACCTCAAAAAATTTCATTCTTTCAATCTTAACCGTTTCGGAGATAACAATTTTTTTATAACTACACTTTTAGAAACGTCAAATTATGTAGGAGATTTTTAAAAATTAGCATCAAACGAATCGTTCACTTTGACACGTTATAATTTGGTATAAATTAATCCCAAACGTTCCTTTATAACCTCAAAAAGTTTCATTGTTTCAATCTTAACCGTTTCGAAGATAACGATTTTTTTATAACTACACTTTTAAGAAACGTCAAATTATGTAGGAGATTTTTAAAAATTAATATCAAACGAATCACTCACTTTGGAAGATTATAATTTGGTGCGAATTGAACCCAAACGTTCATTTATAACCTCAAAAAGTTTCATTCTTTTAATCTTAACCGTTTTGGAGATAACGATTTTTTTATAACCACACTTTTAGAAACGTCAAATTTAATAGGAGATTTTTAAAAATTAATATCAAACGAATCGCTCACTTTGAAAGATTATAATTTGGTATAAATTAAACCCATATGTTCCTTTATAACCTCAAAAAGTTTCATTCTTTCAATCTTAACCATTTTGGAGATAACAATTTTTTTTATAACTACACTTTTAGAAACGTCAAATTTAATAGGAATTTTTAAAAATTAATATCAAACGAATCGCTCACTTTGGAAGATTATAATTTAGTATAAATTAATCCCAAATGTTCCTTTATAACCTCAAAAAGTTTTATTCTTTCAATCTTAACCATTTCGGAGATACCAATTTTTTTATAACTACACTTTTAGAAACGTCAAATTTAATAGGAGATTTTTAAAAATTAATATCAGACAAATCACTCACTTTGGAAGATTATAATTTGGTATAAATTAATCCCAAATATTCCTTTATAACCTCAAAAAGTTTCATTCTTTCAATTTTAACCGTTTCGGAGATAACAATTTTTTTATAACTACACTTTTAGAAATAGCAAAATAAGTAGGAGATTTTTAAAAATTAATATCAAACGAATCGCTCAGTTTGGAAGATTATAATTTGGTATAAATTGAACCCAAACCTTCCTTTATAACCTCAAAAAGTTTCGTTCTTTCAATCTTAACCGTTTCGAAGATAACAATTTTTTTATAACTACACTTTTAGAAACGTCAAATTTAATAGGAGGTTTTTAAAAATTAATATCAAACGAATCGTTCACTTTGAAAGATTATAATTTGGTATAAATTAATCCCAAATGTTCCTTTATAACCTCAAAAAGTTTCATTCTTTCAATCTTAACCGCTTCGGAGAAAATAATTTTTTTATAACCACACTTTCAAGAAATGTCAAATTTAATAGGAGATTTTTAAAAATTAATATCAAACGAATCGTTTACTTCGAAAGATTATAATTCGGTGTAAATTAATCCTAAATGTTCCTTTATAACCTCAAAAAGTTTGATTCTTTCAATCTTGACAGTTTAGGAGAAAATAATTTTTTTATAACCAAACTTTCAAGAAACGTCAAATTTTATAGGATATTTTTAAAAATTAATATCAAACGAATCGCTCACTTTGGAAGATTATAATTTGGCATAAATTGAACCCAAACGTTGCTTTATAACCTCAAAAAGTTTCATTCTTTCAATCTTAATCGTTTCGGAGAAAATGTTATTTTTATAACCACACTTTTAAGAAACGTCAAATTTAGTAGGAGATTTTCAAAAATTAATATCAAACGAATCGTTTATTTTAAAAGGTTATAATTTGGTATAAATTAATCCCAAATGTTCCTTTATAACCTCAAAAAGTTTCATTCTTTCAATCTTAACCGTTTTGGAGATAACATTTTTTTTATAGCTACACTTTTAGAAACGTCAAATTTAATAGCAGATTTTTAAAAAATTGATCTTAAACGAATCGTTCACTTTGGAAGATTATAATTTGGCACAAATTAATCTCAAACGTTCCTTTATAACCTCAAAAAGTTTCATTCTTTCAATCTTCACCGCTTCGGAGATAACAATTTTTTTATAACTACACTTTTAGAAACGTCAAATTTAATAGGAGATTTTTAAAAATTGATATCAAACGAATCGTTTACTTTGAAAGGGTTATAATTTGGTATAAATTGAACCCAAACCTTACTTTATAACCTCAAAAAGTTTCATTCCTTCAATTTTAACCATTTCGATTAAATTTTATCCATTTCAAAGTCAAATATGTCAAAATCAAACAAAGTTGCATCATATATTTCAAAAAAGGGGCTCGTTTTTATTTTTTTGTAATAAAATGAGTCAAGCGAACTCTGCAGATAGCGGAAGTAGGTCGTTCAATCCTCCAGCATCAAGTACACCACAAAGAACACCACCTCGAACTTCGCCACGGGATGAGCAGCAACCACGAACTAATCAAAATCAATTGAATGATGCACTTCGTGAAGATCAGGATGGAAGTAACAGGTTTGATTTGATGGAAATGTTGGCAAATTTTAAACCGGAACAGTTACCGCTGTACACACTTAAATTCTCTGCTGTTTTTGCGGTGCTCTTTGCTATATATTACGTGTTACGATTAATGTGTAAAAATGTAGACAACGAATACGTTGATGATGATGATGATGATGATGATGACGATGATGACGAAGATGAAGATCAATCTGGATCCCTTTTCAGGAGAAGATCAACAAGATTTCGGAGATTACTTTCTTGAGGTACATTAAAATCAGTTTGTGATTTAAGAGAATGTAAACAGTTTTAAAAATAAAAATTGAGCCCCATATTTGAGCTTTTAATTGGATTCAAAAACTCTCTTTATTTTTATAAGTCTCCGATTGAACTTGAGTTTCTTAAAAGTGTGGTTATAAAAAAATTGTTATCTCCGAAACGGTTAAGATTGAAAAAATGAAACTTTTTGAGGTTATAAAGGAAGGTTTGGGATTAATTCATACCAAATTATAACCTTTCAAAATGAACGATTCGCTTGATATTAAGTTTTAAAGATTACCTATTAAAATTGACGTTTCTTAAAAGTGTGGTTATAAAAAAATTATTTTTTCCGAAACGGATAAGATTGAAAAAATGAAACTTTTTGAGGTTATAAAGGAAGGTTTGGGATTAATTTATACCAAATTATAACCTTTCAAACTGAACGATTCGATTGATATTACTTTTTAAAATACTCCTACTAAATTTGACGTTTCTTAAAAGTGTGGTTATAAAAAAATTAATTTCTCTGAAACGCTAAAGATTGAAAGAATGAAACTTTTTGAGGTTATAAAGGAAGGCTTGGGATTAATTTATACCAAATTATAATCTTCCAAAGTGAACGATGCGTTTGAAAAAAATTTTTTAAAAATCTATTAAATTTGACGTGTATTAAAAGTGTGGTTATAAAAAAATTGTTTTCTCCTAAACTGTCAAGATTGAAAGAATGAAACTTTTTGAGGTTATAAAGGAACGTTTGGGTTCAGTTTATATCAAATTATAATCTTCCAAAGTGAACGATTCGTTTGATATTAATTTTAAAAAATCTCCTATTAAATTTGACATTTTTTGAAAGTGTGGTTATAAAAAAATTAATTTCTCTGAAACGCTTAAGATTGAAAGAATGAAACTTTTTGAGGTTATAAAGGAAGGCTTGGGATTAATTTATACCAAATTATAATCTTCCAAAGTGAACGATGCGTTTGAAAAAAATTTTTTAAAAATCTATTAAATTTGACGTGTATTAAAAGTGTGGTTATAAAAAAATTGTTTTCTCCTAAACTGTCAAGATTGAAAGAATGAAACTTTTTGAGGTTATAAAGGAACGTTTGGGTTCAGTTTATATCAAATTATAATC